TTGTCAACTGTATGTAAATCAGTCAAGAATGTGTACTACTAATTGTCTTTAATCCCGATTCAATGCTCCAGAACACTCGTGCCATCTAGGAAGAGCCAGTGACCTCCCTCTCATTTTTACATCTATAAATACCTAGAAGGGTATTTAAAATTCATTATATATATATATGTGTGTGTGTGTGTGTGTGTGAAGCTAGTATCACAATTTTCAAATATGTGACTAAAGATACTGTAGTGAATACATTTATTAAATATGCTCTCATACAAAACAAAGTTATACTCAGGCTATCTCGTATATTTCCAGAGTAAACAGTGGTTATATATAATAAAAACAATCAACTAAACAGACTTACATCTCTTTATACAGAATCTAACCAAACATAACACGCTTTGCAAAGTGCACAATAAAACTATCTTTTTTTCAAAAGAAATTTAACAGCATAGACCTGAACTAAAATTACTACAGTCCAAATCATTCATAATTTAAATATATTTAAAATCGAAGTTGTAGAAAAATATAAAGTAGTTGAAGAGTAAAATGTTTTCAGGCTGTTTTGTTATAATTTAATAGGTTTACAGTATTTCTTAAATATTGTGCGAAAAACAGAGTATTGGTATTAAATGTTATTTGTATTAGCATGACATTTAAATCCTCTTAAATTTAAAACTTTAAAATATAAAAGTTAATGGTGGTGGCTAGAGATGATACTTAGTCATTCTGAATTCAGATTCGCTATTTTGCCCACATTAAGTACAAAATTGAACCTAAAACGTAAATTCTATTCAGTACACTTTCTGAAAATTTCGTCACCAATTGTATATTTTTTACTCCATGTAATAACTTAGTGTCATAGGCTGCATACTTAACCAATAGTATGATCAAGCCACATGTCAAATAAAGAACAACCACATTTTAACAAAAATTGCGTTAAATATTATAAAAGTAATTTCACTAAATTTTAAAAAAAATTGTTCCAAAATAACTTTGTATGTATGTAACAAGTAGCTTTTTTACAGACAATTCTAACGCAGGCACTATTAAAAAACAAATTGTAAAAATCTACTTTATTTGTCGACAAAGAAAATTTTTATCTTTATTTTTTACAATCTTTACTATATGCATTCAAAAGACTTTTTTGGGAATATTTCAAATTAGGTATGATATACATAGAGGCTACAGTTTCACGCACGTATGCAGAGGAGGGTTCCGCTGAACCCCTATTTTTTGATGTAAAAAAAATGTTTGTATAGTTATAGCGCAAATGCTTATTGTATTTAACGTATTTCACATAGTCTATATTTTTTGAAAGACGTTAGCATTTTCTGGCTTGAAATAGTCGCATGCAATGGCTTCTGTTGACATTTTGTAATTGGAAGCCGAAGCCGTATTGCTTCTGTCAGGTTTTGTAAGCCAGATTCTTTGAAGTAGGTGTCTGTAACTTGTTGACGATAAATTTCAACAATAAGAAAACAGCAACACAGTCCACCTATTTTAAAATAATGTATTAAAACAAGTCAAACGTACATATAAATCTTCATTACACTGTTAGATATCACAGTTGTATCCAGAGCTTTAAATGATTGTCTCGTTTTCGTCAAAATCTACACAGGCTGAATAATTACCTGAGGTATACAAAAAAGAAAGACTGAGTGCTCTAGCTTTAATATATAATCAATATGACACTGCTATCAACGTTGAAACTATATACAAGTTATTTGGGCAAAAGCACGTCGGAAGAATGAAATATGCTAACATGTTATTTCCATAGTGCATATATGTACGTATATGAAAGCCAATGATTGAAATAATTAATATACTATTGTTGTACAGAAATGTTTAAATTAGTAATATAAGTGAACAATTAGTAACTGCTCTGCATGTAAATAGTACAGTATTTTACTATAATAAAAAATACATATTTATGCTAAATTGCGAATTTAAGTCTAACTCTCCACGCAGTGTTACAACAGAATGATGATTTGTTGACCTTTCATTGGATGTTCGGGGATTTTATGTGAACGGCCATGCAATTGTTTAAAGCTATATTTCATGAATAATTGCTTCCAGATTTAATCTCATAGCACCTATTTTATACAAATTTTCGGAGGTATGCTCCCAGATCCCGTAACATTGATATGCTTTACATGGTGATTGTGCTTCGCACAATATGTGTTGGCTTTTGATGTCACAAATTAGAACTCCTCTTTCAAACATGGCCGGGTGGTTAGGGCGCTCAACTCGCAATCTGAGGGTCGCGGGTTCGAATCACCGTCACACCAAACATGCTCGCCCTTTCAGCCGTGGGGGCGTTATAATGTGACGGTCAATCCTAATATTCGTTGGTAAAAGAGTAGCCCAAGAGTTGGAGGTGCGTGGTGATAACTAGCTGCCTTCCATTTAGTCTTACACTGCTAAATTAGGGACGGCTAGCGCAGATAGCCCTCGTGTAGCTTTGCGCGAAATTCAAAAACAAACAAACTTTCAAACATTTTGATTTCGGACTTGTGTTTTAGTGAACTAAATCATCTTTCAGTAACTGCATTTGAAAAAGGTAATGTCAATATAAATGCAAATAAGTTCCTCAAATTAAGCTAACAAAGTATGAGGCACCGTTGGTGAAAGACATTTGAACTTTTCAAAAATTTAAAGCATTTGTATTATTTAAGTTATTGTTAAAACATGTTCTATCATTGGGCAGATTGTTTTTGGATTATTTGGTAAAATAATGTCCAAGTAACTATAAACAATTGATTTATTGCTTCAATGACATTTGCTAAAGGATATATTTACTTGTAGGTCTAAATTCCAAGACTAATGGCATGCCTAACTTAAAGTCTTAGAGTTTCCTCACTAAGTGATCGATAACAAACATGTTGACTAGTTCACTGTTTAGCTTACCAACTGAAATACAGAACTGAATATCTCACTCACTGGCACTGAATTGATTCACTCACTAACTACTCATTCACACACACATATATATATTGTATTCTTATTTCTACATGCTACAGAAAATCTCTAGATAATTACATCTTCACCACTATACTGACATGCTCCTTCTAGCCACCAAACATATAAATCAATATGTTAAAAATATATCTTGGAATGACCTCTTTTCACTTGTTGTCCTGTCAATGGGAGGGTTCTTCGTGGGTAGGGGGTCAGGCGAATCCACTTGCAGCTCTATCTTTGGTAATCTGATAAAAGTATATCATGTGCTATTAAGCGGGTTGCTTTTATACAGAAAAATTATTCTATGAAACTACTAGTTTGGCCATTCTATCACCGATGTACACTCAAAGATGATGATCTTTGACTTGGGCTGCATGTTCTGTATTTGGTAAACCACATTGTTGATTCTTTTCAATACAAAATATTGCTCTTCCCAACACCTGCTTAACTTTGGAGTTCGTACTTTCTTAAGGCAAGGATTATATAACCAAATCACGTCACCTTAATGAAATCCAGCTCTATCAGCATTAACATCATAATGTTTTTCATTTTATCATTAGCTGATTTAAATCCTTATATAACATTATGATGTTCTCTCTACATATTTTATGTAAGTCTACTGAGTGACTTTCCTTCTGATGTGAGCACAGATGGTCCAGTGGTCTTTTAAGCTTTTTTCAAATATGAAACATGATGGCATGTTGCCTGTAGTTCCATGTACTGCCATTTTATAACTCATAAGTAACAGTGGAAGATCTCGATCTCTTATTTTCTGATGTCCATCCACATAAAGGGCTGACTAATTTAAAAGTTTATCTTTCCATTATGTCACAAAGAGATGGATGCAGAGCTCTTGTCCTGTTTTTTGTTGTTTTTTTTTATTCCAATGATCTGATACACGTCTACAAAAAAAAAAGCAAATTCAAAGATTAATCTCTGATATGGGAGTTTCACAGGCATCCCAAATCTTGAAACAAATTCATTGACAAGCTCCTTGGTTTTGGTTAGGAATAGCATATGCTTCTGGTCATTTGGTGAAATGCTATATTACAATCATTATGTATTTATTCCTACTTTTACTCTGTGATAGAACAGAGAATCAAGCACATTGACAACAACTCTTTCAGGTGGTGCTCCAGCACTATACTGCTGTCATCCCATACTGTTTCTTTTGTTGACCTTTTCACTTCCAATAATGCTCACATGATTTACACCCTTTCCCTACATTCCCTGTACGTAATCCAATAGAGGCATTCTCTCCATTGTCTACTAAACCCAAGTGTCCAGCTGTTAGAAGGTTGTGGAAATGTAGCGGTCGTGGAAGTATCAACTATAGGCATTATTTCTGACCCTAAAGCCGCTCAGTGAGAAGTCTATTATATATTCACACTCCTTATGAAACGGGCAGAAATTTTAAATGACACTGTTACGACAACGGAAGTCGCGCGACGCTGGGAGCATGCGCTGGAGTTCTAGAAAGATCGAGAAACCTGTCGAACGTCCAAGCGTTTGCTAGACGCGCGCTTTTATTGTATATAAGCGCGACAAATAAAGCGAGAGAATTAATCGGAACTGAAATAGCAGATAGAGAGATTGTAAATAATAGACACAGTTAATCGAGTCAAGTGAGCGGTAGTGACCGTAAGTAAAGTGCGTGAATCGTTGTGAGTTATAGCGTGTGTTTATATTAAAGTGACTGTGGAAATTAAGTGTATTGCAAAGTTGAATTGAGAAAGAATAAACTAGTTTTATTTAAGAAAGGACTTGTGTCGCTGAAGTTCTTCGGAAAGCATTTTTACGGGAAATTAACAAACGAACAGAGACGTAACAACACGTTATAGGAATAATAGTTCTTTTTATTTTTAAAATTACGCATTTACCTTTGTATTATGAAGTATCATTTATTAATACTACACATTCAATAACTGTATCGATTTTGATCATTTAAATGGTTGCTCTTTCACTTTACAATTTATTTAAAGAAATGTTTATTTAAAACGAGTGAATCAACTACCAGGTGTCTCACGTTATTGTGCTTATGATGTTGGTATTTGTACTTTATTTTAAGAATTACAATTAGTAATGGTAAGGATTAGTTGGAACTTATAAATCAATGAATATGCAACTTTGAAACGTATTTCGGGGTGTATTAGTTTTCAGTTTATGTAGTTAGGCCTCTAACTCTAAATTGTAATTCAACTACTAATTGTACGTGTATTGTTTAACATGCAGCTTTATAAATACAATGTAATTTTAACTTATGTCAACACTAAAGTACAAGTACACCAACGGGACCAAGTGATCCAGAGTTAAGTGTATATGTCACAGTCAAGTGGGTTTTCGATTTTTTTACTGTAAGTATAGTTATAGTAAATTGATCGAGAATCTTTTGTGGGCTTAAGATGGAATGTTGTCTACTGTATTGAGTAATATTTCAACTCCTTGCTTACGTCGTTAGCTTTACTTTAACCTTATGTGTGTTTTTCGTAGTGGCTTTTAACTTAAGTTTTAGTGTTTTGCAACTTCTGCATATCAAAGTGACATTTTTTTTTCTCATATTCATTTTTGCTTCATACAGAGATGTAAAAGTATTAAATTACTACTCTTAAAAAGCACACCATTTGGCTTGTACTATACACCTGGAAAAAGTTAAGCCACCC